AAGAAATGTGCAAGAGTAAGATGAAAAAGTGTGAACTACTGTGAGAACCAGAGAAAGGGGACAGAGAGATGCAGAGTGAACGTGTGCTGCTGTTAAAAGGCGCCAAGAGATGCAGTAGAGGGCTGCCACAAAGTTTCTGTATATAGACAGCACCTTATCTGCAAAGCAAAGTACAATAAAAGGAGATACGCCCGTATGTCGTGAGCTTATGTGAAAGTACCCCAGAGGACAGGAGAGAAATGAACAGTGTCATTATGTAGTTGTAGAATAATTACACCTTTGTTTTTTTTCTTTTAAAACTTTTATTGTGAACTGAGTGACAGTTTACAGGGCAGATCATCAGTTTCACATTCAGGAAATCATACTTTGTTTCATTGGCATAATTACGAGCCCTTCCTTCATAATCAACGGTTAACAGTATTAACCTCTATTTCTCCCTCCCTTTTTTTTTTCTTTTTTGGTGTACATAAAACACACAGAAAATATATAGTCATTTTAATGACCAAAGGGTGCGTTCTGCAAGTCAGCCTCCCCACCCGCCAGCACACAGCCTTTCTCATTCCATGGGTCTAGAGTCCCCCACTGCTCTGTCTCGCCATGCCATCACCTTTGCCTCCATCTCTGGTGTCGCTGCTTCTTTGGTTAGGATCCCACAGTCTGCTCACGTGGAGTCAGTTCCGACTCATAGCAACCCTGTACAGGGTTTCCAAGGCTGTAAATCTTTATGGGAGCAGAACACCTCATCTCTCTCCCACGTTGATGGCCCTAGGGTCCTCTGTTTCTAGAATGAAAGATTAACTACTCCCCCCTTTTTGTTTCACGTCTTGTATCTCTGCAGCACACCGTGAACTCTGGTTTGTAAAGCTTATACTGTGAGAACACATCTGGCACTTTGTGTTGATGAAAAATGAAGGTTGAATTACAAATTCTCAGGGCTGTCTGATGTAGACCTCAGAGTTCAGGGAACCTTAGCCAGGTTCAGCACGGGCCTGGTGCAAGCGGTGATTAGGAAATCATAAAGCCTAACATGGTTAAATTCCATCCTCAGCCGATGCCCAGTTTTTAAAAGTCCAAAGTTCACTTGGGGATAACTCCGCGTGGCCCAAACCTTTTATGGATTTCTCTTGAGTTAAACTTCAGATATGACTGAAAGGAGGGACCAGTGAATCTTGGCTGTAAGGTATGATGTATTTTGTTGTGTGCTAAATCTTGTGGTACTGTAGGATCAGCCCTGGACTACAAACCGCAAGGTTGGCGGTTCAAGCCCACCAGCTACTCCTTGGAAACCCTACACAGACAGGGTCGCTATGAGTCGGAACCAACTCAACAGCACTTAACAACAAACAGCAAATCCTGAACTCATAATCCGTTCATTTTGTTTACTAAAACAGTTTTTGAAAGGGGAGGAAGGTGGACCAAAAATGAGCCTTTCCAATTGAGAATGCTAAGGGTACACATCGTACCCCTAACTGGAAGGTCAGTAGTTCAAACCCACCTGCCGCTCCATGGGAGAAAGACGAGGCTGTCTGCTCCCGTAAAGATTTTAAACCTCAGAAACACTGTTCAGGGTCTGTATGAAAGGATTCGGACTCAGTGGTAGTGGGTTTGTTTTTGTTTTGTTTTTAATTATTATCATTGAAAATTCTTAAGCCCTGATGTTAGATGGGAGTCCTGGTGTGGCGCTGTGGGATAATGCACTGGACTGCAAGGTCGTTTGAACCGCAAGGTCAGCAGTTCAAGCTCACCAGCCGTTCCTCAGAAACTCTATAATGGTTTCTGTGAGTCAGAACTGACTTGACGGCACTTAACAACAACAACAGTGTTAGATGGGGAAACATCTGTGTAAGAAACACAGAGAAACCTCAAAGAAGGGATATCAGGATATGAACTTTGTGTGCTAGATGGAGAGGTCCAGAGTGGCTTTTTGCTTTATTAAGTAGTTCTGAACCGGGCATCTTTTTTTGTTTTGTTTTTGCAAGAACTATGTAGTACTTTCTACCTGCGTGTGGAAAAAAGGGCTTGTGTCTGGGAGGTTGTTTCTTTTCAGCTTTGAAGCCAAAAAGAGAGGTTTCTCCAGCAGCCGCGCTCCCTTGCAGTTATTTCGGAAGGAGGGCTTCTTGTTATGGATGAGCCTCCTGGGCCAGTCTGTGAGGTGCTCTCAGAGCTCTGGGTCCTGCCTGGCCCTTTCAGAACCTGCTGGAATACTGGGGCCCATTGTGCGTCCAGCGTCCTGAGGTGAGGGAGCTCTGAGGCTGAACACAGACTCTTTCATGAAGAAGTGCCCAGCACGCAGGGGGGACAGAGCCGCTCTGTGGCCACGTGTAAAGTGCTCCCCTTATTCTGCCTCCTGGCAGTGGTACACTGGAGTGCACGCACGTTTTCAAACGGTTTCCTGTTTTCATTAAGCAGACAGGGAATGCGGGCAGCTGAGCGTGCCAGGGTGGTGTGGCCCCAGCTGCAGCGGGCCTCCATTGGTGCACGCTCGGCCTATGGTGTTTGTGCGGGGCCGGGCTGAGCCCACACGAACGGTAACCCTCCTTTCCTTATGGGGTGAGGAACGCAGGCGTCCGAGGCCGAGCCCTGGGGCGTCTAGTTCACTGGGGTGCAGCACAGTGCCGCGAGGTGTGCGGGCCGACGGATCCTGGTACGTGGGTGGACGGGCAAAGGGGAGGGCTGGGCTCCTAGTGAGCGCTTGGCGGCCAGTGAGAGGTACGGGCTCCTGGTATGTGTCCAGGCAGGCGAGTGGATGGGCGCAGGGCCTCAGCACAGCTGCCGGAAGTCCACTGTTGGCCAGCAGAGGGCCAGAAGGAAGGACTGCAAGCCCAGAGGCCCTCTGTGAACCCCGTCCAGAGAGCTGGTGAAGTCCAGAGGGGTCCCCTTTAGAGTCCCCGGCTCACTAGCATGGCCCGTGGCCATAAGAGCTGTCTGACACTGAAGCCTGCAGTTTCTCTTTGGTTATGGTATTCCAGACAGTCCTGGAAACAGGTCTGGCTGCATATTTTGAGTGAGCATGTTCTCCATGTGGAGTTGAAAACGTTAAAAAAAGAGAGAAGAGCAGACCAGTTTTATTAGCAGGGCCTGGCACTCTCGCTAAGGCGGGGAGGGGGAAGCCCTCCAGTGTGGTGAGCTGGAGGCTTTTTGCAAATAGTTTCTTTGAGGTCCACATGTTTTAGAATGAAACTCTAGGGCTTGATTTCAAACTACCAGAGTCTTTTAATAAGGTTTCAAATCCAGACACGAGGAATGTGTACCTTCTGTGTGGCAACCTTTTAGTAGTTTCGTGCCAACATTTTAGGATGAAAGTGGGTGACTGGAACCATGAGTCGTAAAATGTATTCAAAGTATTTGCCCTGCCCGGTGTACGTGTGCCGCAGTGTTGGGGGTTGGGAGGGCAGGCAGGAAACCCCCTCAACCTTGACAGCGGCAGGGGGATTAGACACCTAGAATAAGGAGGGAGTTACGGACGACGGGACCTTTTCCATCCCTGCTTTTCCAGAGCACTCAAAAGTGTAAAGCTTGTTGGTCCCACTCTAGGAAGACACAGTTTTGAAAAGCTCCGCTCGGGTCAGCAGCCAGTCTGTGCTTTGAAAGGTCCTTGTGTTCCCTTTGTATAAATGTTTGGTTTAGCCAGAGGTAGCATTTACCAAATGCCACATGACCCACCGGTCAGAGTCTGGCCTGCCCCTTATTTTCATTCTCCTTTGCATCTGTGCACATTCCTCATGAATGCAAAACAAGACGGGTTGGTGAATACTTTGTCGAAAAGAAAGTCAAAGTGAACACTTGTTTGTTTGGTTGGTTTTGAGTTGGGAGATATGGGCGGTGGTTGTTTTTAAACAGGGGGCAACATTGAGAAATGGACAACACAAATTGAGTTGAACACTCTCCTCTGACCAGTTATTGAACACACGGACAGAGCGCCCTAGCCCACAAGCTCCTTGTCACTGCCTTTGCAGCAGGGAAGGTGTGGAGGCAAGGTGTGAGTTCATGGTCATGCACTAGGGGGCGCTTGACTGCTATTTAGAAAGATCTGGACACTGGAGACCTTCTCTCCCAGGATTCCTGGATTCACTGCTGTTATTCTCAGACTTGACTTTTTTCTGCTCATAGTACACTTTGTGAAACAGGAACCTTAACGGATCTGATCCACAGTCAAGCAACTGCAGAGGACTGAGTGTATTTGGCAGGTCTTTTTATAATATATTCTTTAAAAAAAATTACCCAATGTCCTCGATTGGTTCTGGCTCATAGCAACCCTGTAGGGCAGAGTCGACCTGCTCTTCTAGGGGTTCTGAGGTTGTAAATCTCTACAGGAGCAGAAAACCTCATCTTTCTCCTGTGGAGCAACTGGTGGGTTTGAACCACTGACCTTGTACCTAGCACCCAATGTGTAGCCTATAGCGCCACTAAGGACTTGCTCTGTATTTGGGTCTTTAAAACCATCGTCTCATGACAGTCTTGTAAAGACTTTATGAGTTAAATATTTGTATTCTACATTTTGGCTTTGCAAGAAGCTAGAGTTCAGAGAGGTTTGATGACTTGCTCACCCAGCTGATAAGTTTTTGGTCCAGAGTAAGCATATCCATCTCTATCAGACTCTTAAAATCCCACCAGCTTACCTCATTCCACCTTACACCCTGACTATACCCTACACCCTCACTATACCCTCACTCCACCCTACACCCTCACTATACCCTACACCCTCACTATACCCTACACCCTCACTATACCCTACACCCTCACTGTACCCTACACCCTCACTATACCCT